ACACGGGACCCCCTGCCCAGCGCTGACGCCGTGCGCCTGGAGAGGAAGCAGAAAGCGCAGGAATTCAGCAAAAAGGTGAGGAGGGGGCGAGTGTGAGGGGCTCAGGGCACCCCCTGCACCAGGGGAGTTGGAGATTCCCGTATTTGGGCTTTGCAGTGTGCTTGGATGAGGGGGATGCTCCTGGCTTGGTCACAGGGCTGGGGCGCAGTTTGAGGCTGATAATTACCTGTATCTCAATAATCCCTGGGGGAAGAGATGGAGGCTGCAAAGAGGGTGGAGATCCTCTGGGAGATGACCCCAAAGCCCATTCTTTTGCACTACAAGAGCATCTGGAAAGCTCCGGAGCAGATCCTACTCTCTTGTGTGTCTGGACGTCCCTCCAAAGTCTGAGCATGTCATCCCGCAGACGTTTTGGCTCTGATATTGCTGCAAAGAGAAAACATCCGTGTGATTACATCTTCATTGTGTTCCCGAAAGCTTCCTAGTGGGGAGTTTACCAAGCACATCGCCTGGTGCTAATTATAAATTTGATCGTGGTTGTTTTCACAATCTTTCTAATTTCCATTTCAAAGTAGCCTTTTAAAATACTGTTATGAAAATAACCAGGCTTGTGGGGTTTTTTTTATCCCAAGCTAATAAAGGAACGAGACGTTCATAAAGACATTCACGGGCGTCAGCCGAATCCCCTCAGCCAGCTTCGACACTAAAGAGTCACGAATGTGCGCTGAGGTTTGGGTTCATAAGGCAGAGCATCACTTGTCAAACAAGTACGACAGGAGATGAACCAGGGGCTGAGGGGTTGTCCCACATCGCCTCCGTCTCCTGAAGTCTCATTAAATCACATCAACGTGCCCTGGATGAGCACAGGAGAGCACTTTTGAAGCCACCAGCACCTCCGCCACCTCCCATCCCTGCCCAGCAAAGCCCCCCGTGGTGTCCCAAACCAGGAGCAGGGCCATGGACCACATGTGCCACCAGCTCCCGAGTGCTGGGGCACAGCTCAACTGGCAAACGCCTCTCTGGAGGGAGTTAACAGCACAGATGTTCTAAATGGCTTCATTTTTCTTTACATGAAGCAGAAAACAATAAGACCCAGTGGGGTGCTCTGCCCCCTCCTTTCCCTGGGGACTCAGCTCTGGGCATCACCAAAAGCGCTGTAGATGCTCAGGGTCCTGGTTTCTCATCCCCTGCACACTCAGGGACACCTGGGGACCGCAGCAACACAAGGGGTGGCAACACCCCCCATTCCCACCCACCAAACCGCCTCAAAACTTTACCCGCAGCACCCTGGGATCCAGCCCAGCGGGAGCACCACAGATTTTGTCATTTCTGTGCTGGACCTCGGAAGCGCAAAGCACACGAGTCTGCCCAGGGGATGCAGCTGCCTCAGCTGCCCCAGATTCGGTAACCTTGAAGCGCTGCTGCTGCCGAGAGTCCCCCTGGTGCTGGTGTGGCTGTGAAAACCCCACTGGGTTGTGCTGGGGGGTGTCTCAGCACCAACAACAGCCCTTACCAGGGGAGAAAAGGCTCTTCCCCTTCCCTGGGCACAGGGTGCCTGGTGGGGAGATGCTGACCAGCTCCATCACAGCACCAGAGGTGCAGGGGTGCCCTCCCCAATGCGTGCAGGGATTGCAGGGTGGGCACAAGGAGTTTTCTGCATCCCTGCACCCAGGCAGGCAGCAGCACCCACAGCCTTAGGGAAGAGGCTTTTAAGGGAGGGTCCCGTGCAGGGTAATTGGCTGGATGCTAATGAGCTCATTAATCTGCCTGTCACGGTGGTCGCAGGTGGAGGTGACAGCTGGAAGTTTCCAGGGCTGATGCTCACATCCGTGGTCCCTCTCTCCAGTTACCTGCACCTCCCAGTGCTAAGGGCAGGACAGTGCCACCCGATCACAGTGTTATCAGGGGCTGAAATACCTCCAAAATCCCCCCGTGGTGTCCTCTGCCGGGTGGATCCTGGACCAGTCCTCTGGGTCCCAGCTCAGCTGTGCCAGAGCCTTTCCTGTGAGGCCACATGTGACCCGGCAGAGTTTTGGGGTTCGGGTCATACTGCTGTTCCCATGCGATGCTCATAACACACAGAACAGTGATAGCAGGGATAAGTGTGAGGGCTCAGCAGCGCTGTGCTGATGGCTGAGGTTTCCCTGACCAGGTGCCTCAACTAGATGGATGCATTATCTGCATTGTTGCTATCTGCTCTGCTGCTCAATCTCCCTTCCCTCCCTCTCCCATCCCTACGCTGCAGGTGGACGCCATCCTCGGCGACCACCCAGAGCTGAAGGAGAAGGTGTTCACCGTCCTGAAGCTGTACGCGGCGGAGCGGAGGGTGGAGGACTTGGCCTATGCCCTCTGCATGGTCCTGACCCAGGAGCCCCACCAGCACCTGATCGACAGCATCAGGTACAGGGGTGCCAATGACCTCCGTGCAGGTCGTTAAACCACGGGTGGTGACGAGCACGTGGGGTTGAGCAGGAGAGTCCTGCAGGGAGGGTGCCAACCCTCTTCCCAAAGCACAGCTGAGCTGAGCGTGGTGGGGTCTCAGCATCCCTGTGCCCCCCAGCTTGTGTGGGGTGCGACAGGAGGACCCATGGCTGCCCATCCACCCCTCTCCTTGTCCCTGCATCCCACGGAGCCGCTGCCTTCATGCATGGCACGGGACATGGCTCCATTTCTGGCCGTGGTTTCAAAGGGAGATGGGATTAACTCGCAAACGGCTGGCGATTCAACACAAAATAAATCAAGCTCTGCAAGGCAAGGAGTTGGCCAGGGGTCCCTGCTGAGTCCGTGGGCTGTCCCCTTGCCAGCAGCTGGGGGTGCCAAGGCTGTGGACCCCGCTCTTGGATGCTCTGGCAATGCTGTGCTTGGGTTTGGGGACTTGGCACCTCCAGGAACCTCTGACCATGCTGTGGGTGTGCAGCCGGCGCAGCCAAATCACTGCTCTTCTTGTGGCACCGCGGGACGGGGCCGGTGCCCGGGCACGTGGCGGGGATTACGGCCAGGCTGAGACGGGGGCCATCAGGGAATCAGGTCTCCATCTGGCCCCACTCCGGGCCTGGCTTTCCAATTCCTGCTTTAATCAGTGGAATTGCAAGATATTACCGTTACCATAACAACGGCCCCGTGCCGGGGTCTCCACCGCGCTGGTGATGGGAGGATGGGGACAGCGGGGCGGTGGCCCTTGGCACGCAGCATCCCCCAGTGCATGGGACACCCAGGTCCCCTATACCTGAGCAGGGATGGACACAGACCCCTGCAGAGCTGGGGTGTGGAGGGCACCGTCACCTCCCCGGCAGCCGCCTTGTCTGGGTGCCCATGTCTGGGATATCCTGTCCCCCCCAAATGTCCCTGGGGGGGGTACCCGACCTGCAAATGGCTGGGGCTGGTGGCAGGGATGGATGGCACCAAGCCCTGTCTGAGCCATCACCCCAAACCGGTTCCAGTCAACAAATCGGGCAGCTAATCTTGGTTTAACAGAAATGAAATACGTAGCTTAGGGAAAAAGATTTACCGTCTAATCTGAATGAAATGAAGTCAAGGAAATAAATAAAACATTAAAAAATGGTGCTTTGGAGAGCAGGTTTCCCAGCCGCAGGGGTCCTGGGGAGGTGGGGGGCAGCTCTGTGTGTGCTCTGTGTGTGGTATGCGGTTTTGGGGGTCTCCCACCCCATGGGTTTGCTGCTGAGCAAGAGCTTTTGGTGCTTTAAATAACTCCTGGGAAGGTGGTGATGCTCTGGATTTCGGGGGTGCTGTGAATTCATGTGAGTGATTTCCCACGGCTCAAGCTGGGTCAGTCCATTGGGGACTGATGGGGTCTGGGGTCTGCACCCTGACCCCTGGCGCTGGGGAAGGACTGTGGGGGAATTTGTGTGAGGGGGGTCCCATTGGAGCTGACACAGCGAGCGCCTTGGGGTCGACCTGTGGGACCCACTGTGGG